TCGGTGGATCTAGACTATAGCAGATCTAGATCAGTAGACCAGGCATAGGCCTAGAACTAGTGCAATTATAAACATGTAAAATATGTGTTAGTAAGCGTACGCACTCAACAACAGGCACTCAGTCAGTCAAAATAAGGCCTCACAATGATAAACAATGCAAAGCATAAATCACAATATAATTAACGTTACGTGAGTCATTGGAGTTGAATTCAAAGTAGATCTTCTTCAAGTTCTAGGTAGATGTAGAAACTAGCTAGTCGAAAACAGTGGTCGACGAGCTGGTTGTCGATCGCGTAGGATATGCAGACGATGATCGACGCTAGGTGAATACCACGATGATGAAGACGATGTTGAAGACAACGATGATGACAACAATGATGAAGACGACGCTGGTGAAGACAGCGATGATGAAGTCGACGATGAAGACGACGCTGGTGAAGACAGCGATGATGAAGACAACGGTGATGAAGACAACGATGATGAATCAGTTAACAGATGAATACAATGATGATGCAGTCAATGTCAATAGATCAACTTCAGTGACTTGCGATGAAGGTCGAAGAATCAAATGTCGAGACAATATATATGAAGTCGCTGATAAAAGGTTGTCAAACAATAATGCAGGTGAGAAAAACGTTAGATCATATTAAATGTTCTATTCTCACTGCTGGTGAATTAAAGTGTCGTCCATGTTGAACATCGAGAGAGTTGTAGCGGCTCTAACATGCCCTACTTTCACCGTACATTAATTCATGTCTCCTGTATTTTTCCATCACGGTATTTATTTATATTCATTATTCGGACCACGTGTGTTTTTCCTCCAATCGAGCATCGTGGTTCCGCGCATCGTTCACCCGCGTATTTTCATCACCACGAGGTTTTCTCCACTCCCGCTTACACACCTCGGTCGAGTCAACAACTCCTGCTTACATCTCAGTTGAGTCAACACGTTTCTGCATGATTTCTTCTCCGGGCTTGATTCTACCGTGCCTTTCACCTCTATCGTATCGGCACATCTTCACTTTCTCTGCCGTGTTCATCGGGCTGCAGTCTTCCAGTGGAACAGTTAAATCTAGTTCCGACATATATGGTGCTTGGTTATCCGCTGGGAGTTGCCAGTTTCTTCACCGGTAGTCTTTCACTCACATGAGCTCGACTCACCGCAGCTCATCTAAACATTCACCATCAAAGTTCGGCTCATCAATCGAGCGACTCACCGTCTCAGCACCACTACCGGCTTTGATGTCTGCATTTTCCACTTTGGCCTCCGACATCAAGCGACTCACTGCTTTCGTCATCGAGCGTCACACATCTCTTCTCTTCTCTTCTATTCTCGCCCGAGAGCTCCATCTACATTCATCATCATCACGAGCGTCGGCGACGACATCGCGTTCTTCACGGTTCTTCAACCACGTCAACGAAGTCGCGTTTCCGCCATCAAGCCTCCGCACATTTCATCGCGTGAGCCCCTTCCTTCGTTCTCAACTCTCTTCATCTTCATTGGACTTTCGACTTCATTTCTACTATTGTCGTAAGCTCTATTTAAATACATCGCATTTATTCATGTTCATTATCATCATTGATCATTATGTAATCTCCGTGCAATATTCACATTTACCATTTATGCATTTTCATTCCGATTCTTCGGCTTGTGCTTGGCTACACTTTGCAAGTGTACGGCCAGCCTCATTAGTACCCAATAAACATAACGAAAAGGGAATACTTTCTTTCATGTATTTTATTGCTAGTGCAACCTTGTTTCCTCGTAGCTAAATAAAAAATAAGAGTTATGTTGTGTGACGAGTGAACACGCTTTCAAATATCCATTCACAATACCTCACACTCATATCTCTAAAGAGTCAAAATATATCTTGCAAAACGTACAAGATGTAAATAGGTGAGCACGTCCACCGGGAATGGTCCGGGGACGTAGCAGTTCAATCCTCGTTGGATACAATTTTCTAGGTACAAATATCAACACAATAACAGCATGTGTGTATACCAATATTAAAACAGCTCACTGATTCCCGCACAGGAAAATCAGAAGAGCGCCAATCAACTACAGCGCGATTGGTTCAAAACAAGCGCACATGTATGTTAATAAGGCACGTGATCTAAATACTTATGAATAAATACGCGTACATCTATGTTAATTGGTCATGTGATCAAAATACTAATGAATAAACATCGTTATATAATAAATCGAGTTAAAACCAGTTCTGAGGACATGGCGTAATACCAAATCCTCGAACTCTCAATGACTTCTAAAGCGGCCATTTTGGATTAAAAACACAATATGTATACCAGTGAATTATAAATGAATGCACTGTAACATTTGTCGCTACAGGTGAAACCATGTTCGTGAATTCTTAACAAACGGTCTAGTATTGGACGATAAGAAAGAAAGAACAAAACTTTCAAAACACGATATAAAATTGAGACTGCAATAGTTTTTACTTTTTTTCTTATAACTTCTTTCAATATTAATAATCATTAGTAATCAAAGCAAGGAAGACTCAACGCACAGTTATGCACTGGAGTAGATCGTCTGTCAATATCATGCAGTTTGCGCATCCTATGAATAGAATTGGGTTTTCCACCAGAGTGTATAAGCACATTCGAACTTATTGGAGGTATTCATCGTTTTCATCTATAGAGGGTGACTTATTTATTTGATTTCATTTGATTCTATTTTCTTCTGCATTCATGTAGTTATACAATTTTTCGATAACAATAACAATATAAAGTACAATAAGTATTTTTCTGACAATGAATCATATATATAAATCGTTATTTTCAAAAAACAAAATGATAAACTGTCATAAATACTAAATTTCCCCGAACATTATAAAACATTAGTGGATATATTGTGATTATGTTGGAGACACACTTTAGTAGTATCCTGGATGATAGAGCAAGACATTTTAATTGCTTTCACTACTATATTTGGAAGAGCAAAGGACGGTAACTACAGTTGTTTATCACTCCCTCTTTCTCCACTATTCTTCCTTTATCTCCGTCCATTTCTCTCTTTCTCTTCCTCTTTCTCTGTCAACCAATAATGGACTCTTCCAGTGTCAATCAACAATACCGTGTGCATACAACAAAATAATGTGTATGTACTTATAGGCTAGGTTTACAGCGTATACATACTTACTATTTTCTAATAAAAAAAGAAACAAATGAGGAAAATGCTGAAGGTACTTTACAAACTGTGTACAAAAACAGTATGGAGACCAGGAGTCTATATTAAAATAGTTGCACCGTTTTACCTATAAGAATCGACTTAAGTAACAACATTTTTTATCTGATGCCGTTTTCAGAAGATCTGTATAGATTTGATTCAATTTAATCTAATTTCACCAAACTGAACAGAATTGAAGCGGTAATTATTATGAAAAGGAAAACTTCCAAATTTACATGTATTGTATTGTATTTATTAAACTTCATTGATGTATATCAGTATTCTGTTTATAAACATATAAATCAATTTACAATGTAATGTAACAAATTAATATTTAGTTTGTAAACATATATATCATATAAATCAATTTACAATGCAGTGTAAATAGGAAAACAGAAGGGAAATTATATACAGCAGAAGCACTCCTTTTTCATCTTGTAATAACATGACATATAATGCATAAAGTACATAATACAGTGTACCATAATACATCCGAAGATTTAGATATATAAAACCTAATATAGCAATTTTCTACATAAATTTTAACTCATGCTAAACAAACTAGGTAAATGATGTACATGGAATGCCTAAAACAAATGACGTAATAGTACTTATACATATATGCGACATTCTGTAAAATTGAGCCAAAAACATAAGATTGAAAATGTTTACTTTGCTATTACATAGTATCTAAAGGTTGACATGAAATATGCAAAATTACATTACCAATTCATTATAACAAAAATGTAGTAAAATTAAAAAAAAATATCATAATATTCTTACATTACATAGGATGTTAAGTCAAGAAACATAACTTCCGAAGGTTAAACTAGGCCTAATTTTTGTTCACACTGAACATTGTTCCTATCTATATCAAAGCAAACTAATCTATCACATTATCAGTTCCCGGAGCTTTGAACTTAATGGCTTTTCAGACAGGGTGCAAAGTGAATACGAAGGAATTTTTGAGGGAACGTAGTAACCATGGTCCTCCAAGGATTGAAAAAACAAATTCGATGTATTAGGCAAGTTTAATGGAATATCCAGGCCGGTATCATTTCAAGCTCTGCTTACGATATCGGTCTTCTGCATTCTCCCCCTTTTCTTTCTTTTCAAATACGATTAATTGTACTATTGATTATTTATATTTATTTATTTATATGAATTACTACTTGTATTACTTATCATTATATTGCTAAAATGTATTCATTGTTATTTTTGTTATTGTTTATGGAAAATGCAGAAATAAAAAACTTGAAACTGAAAAATACGAAGAGTATCGTGATATTATAAAATAAAAACAAAATAATGATACCAATAACTTGACAGGATAACCCGTGAAGGCTTAAAAGCTTGTTTACAATAGGGTCCTATTTACAATGTCATTTTCAATTATTTCGTCATTTAAAGATACAAAATAATCACCATAAAATGCAACAAAATTGAGCACATTATTAACAAACATATTTGAGAACAACAACATAAGTGAAATAACACTGATAAGAAGTTAATCAATATCTTACCGTTTTTCAAGTTGTTCAATATGATATAATATCACTGGCTTTCATTACATATCTAGGATAAACGATGACACAAGTTACATACTATTTCGAGAGAGGGAAGTTATAATTGTATTAGAAAATGACAACGGTCTTCAGGCAATCAAAATATATCGAGAGAATAGGCATCTTCTCATTTGGTTGGTTATCACATAATAAACTATAGAATATGACACATTATAAGCCCATATTAGAGTGGAGCTGGAGCAGAGAGGTTTACACATCAAGAATAATGGTAATAAAGAGTGTTAGATGGATTACAGTGATACTTTGATAAAATACAACTTCTTGTAACAAGCAAACGCGAGCATGTCTGGTGAAAGGGAAACCAAATAACACCAATAATGATCAAGTGTCATATTAATTATATTGAACTCAACTCTCTCCTTCAGGTTCAGACCATCAAGGTCATAGAGCCTGATCACCACGTTTCCATTCGGAACATCAACACTCGCTACATACACCCTGTCTTGCTCATCCACGGCAGCATACAGGTGGACACCGTCTGGAGCTTGTAGAGACTTACCAGCATTCCCATCCCTGTCATAGACCGTCACCACGCTTGGATCGGTGTAATCACATGAACTCGTGACGATCAAACCCGACCTGGTGCCAGATACCTGCTTCGTATCGTTGTGTTTTGTTGGAACAATGTGTTTGGGTGTGGATCCCGTCGGGTCATAGATATAGACTTTCTTCTCACTGCTAGCGATGAGGATTTCATCTGACGGACTTCTGTTAAGCCTAATAAATCCATTGGCGTTCACGTAAAAGGTTGATTTTCTGGATCCAATGGGAGAATATATGTGTGCTTGACTGCCAAATGTCGCTATGCATAACGACCTGTCTTGTTGAAACTCAAGATCATAGCATATCGCGTTACATGATATGTTTTCATACTGCTCATGTTTACCAGCTAAATCAATGATTATGTATACCATGTGTACACAGATATCCGATAGCTACACTGTTCTCAGAGTACGGGGTCATACCCACCATGCATCCCCGTAGATCTACACACTGAATGACTCGCAACTTGGGATCTGATTCTAAGATGCTCCCGAGGTCAAGACGAGTATCATCTGCAGGCTTGAACCTCTTCTCCTGTGCTCTCTTCGTAATGGCTGTCGCAGAAGTGTGATCAGTAGCCTCCTTCAGCATGGCAACCAGCTTCTCACAGAGCAAGGTATGAGCAGAAAGACTGTCCGTCTCGAGACCACCAAGTCTTTCATTAGCTACCAGTGTTATTGAACTACAAATACTCTTGATCTTCTGTCGATCGTTGGATTTCAAGACGTTGAGGTCGTCATCGAAACTACGCTTTACTATATTGATTTGCTCGATGAGATTTCGATGATTTTCTTCAAGCCCTTTGGCCTTGATGCTGTAGGCTTCACTGATATCGTTCAGTAGCTTTTTCACGGCAGTGTATACTTCCTGACGTTGTACTTCAACATTCTGAATGTTGTTCTCCAGTTCTGTCTTCTTAGCGGCACATCTCTTGACAAGGTCGTTCACCTAAACAAAACAAATAATAGAGAAGTGAAAAGAACATTTTCTGACTGAGTGTATGCTTAGTACATGGAGATGGTTTGAAAATGGAACACGGATTTGCATGCGCCTGAATTTTCAGAAATCCCCCCCCCCCCACACACACACACACATATTATTATACATCATATACGAGGACAGAGAAATTGAATACGTGATATTTCTGTTTTATTAAAAGGAAATCCAGCTCTTGTAATAAGTCAATTTGCATGAAAGCAGTAATATCATATAAACCGAACATAGATATGACAAATAATTATATTATTATCATCATAATAACAATCATCATCATGATAATAATAATAAGCAAATAAGTAGCGTAGGTGAAAGTGATGGGACAAACTATCACTTCCGAAGCGATCTGGATGTAGCTATCTTTCTGAAGCGAAATAGCTGCGGAAAGATAGCGTATACATTCAGATCGCCGAGGAAGTGTTAGTTTGCATAGTTTGATAGTTTGATTTTAAAAGGTTGGGAAAAAATGTGAAATCAATTTTGTCCCCCATTTGAATCATTGCAGGGGATCTTCTGTTTGTGCCCCATCCCCTCTTCTTCACATCTCGCTAAAGGTGCTCATAGAACCTTCCCCTGTCTGAATTGTACAAGTACACTTTTTTGTTTGATGAAATCACATTTACCTTTAGCCGCAAGTTTTGCTCGAAGTCAGTCTGATTCTTGATGTTGTGATTTTGATGACCGACGATCACACACTTGTAACAGACATGGACCTTACAATCTTCACAAAACATATCCCTGTTCTCTTGTTTGTGGATGCAGCACTTCTCAGGTAGGTCACCAATGCTGACCTTTCCGTCGATGATATCCTGTAAGGATACAATCTCATGACCTTCGAAGAATGATGTCAGGTGCTTATGGCCGAAGTCGCAATTAGTGCACATGTAGTTATTACACGTTCTGCAGAATGAGACAGCATCTTGATGAAACTTGCAAGCAGTGCATTTTGGACGCATCTCAAGGACAGCGTTCACATCTCCACAATTGGCGTGGTAATTGTCTACAAGTCCATTGACAGTCACATTGGTGAGGAAATCATCGACACGGTTCGCAGACAACTTGGTGATCTTCCTGCACAGAGGACATATCATGTGATCGAGATCCTGGTGGGACAGGTCATAGTTCTTGAGACATTTCCGACAGAAGGTGTGTCCGCATGAAGTCAGGATGGTTGCCTCGTCGAAGATATCAAGACATAGTGGACACGTCAGGTTTTCTGAAGAGCTTGTAGCTTTCTCGCTCTCGGTCTTCTCAGCCATTTCTTTAAATATCGAGTTTTTGGCTTATTACAAACAAGATCTCCTTCTACGCATAAATGCAATTTCCAATGAAACTTAAGAGTGTGATCAGCTAATGTGGACAAGAAGTCAACAGTACGTTCATGCAAGCACACTGGATCACACACTATAATATATGAGTCTACGTATTACTAACGAGTGCGTCCAATAACGTATGCATGCAGCTCAGTTCCAATGTCTAACGTTGATAACAAATATGTGTCGAAAGAAGTGCGAATAACTTTGAACTTTGAGCCGCTATTCAAGTGTACACATCAAATACAAATGTGTTTACAATGCTGAAGTCACGCCGCGTATAGCACCTATGAACTTATTGTCGGTAGTCATCATTTCTATCTATAGAGGGCGACTAATTAGTTTTTCAGTTGTGGATATATTGTTTTGGAGATCCTCTTTAGTAGAATTCTAGGTAAACGAGCAAACCTTTTATTTGCTTTTATATAAGCATATCTATGTTTGGAAGGGTAAAGGACGGTGACTACACTTGTAATATTTCACCCCTTCTATCTGCACTATTCTTCCTTTATCTCCTTCCATTTCTCTCATTCTCCCCCCTTTTCCAACAAAAAAGGGCACTTTCTGGGGAGAAAAAAGGGGCACCCACAAAGGTAGAATCTAAAGCAAAAATATACAATTTGTTGACGTTGGTAATACCCCTATTGTCCGAATACATTTCAGGGATGATTTTGTTTCTATTTTTAGATGATTTAAGATCCCGCTTAAGCATCATACTTTGCAGTTGAGCGTTATGGTGTGAATATCCATTTGGGAGTGAGCGAAGCGAGCGAGTTGAAATTTTAAGATTTGTAAGGCAGTGCAAAGAATTGCAGATTATAAAGAGGAAAAAACAATCGTGATGGGGTTTTAAGCACAATCTAATCATGAAAGAATGAAAAGACCTTTAAATGGAAACAAAATTATACCATCTATAAAATTTGGATGAAATTTAAGAAAAAGTTGCTCTTAGTCGCTTTAGATTAGGAGTACATTTGTTAATGAAAGGAAAAGGGGGCATTTATCCAAAGGGAAAAGGACACTTATTAGAAAAGAAAAGGAGCACGTTTCAACATAAAAAGGGGAACTATCTGAGGTGAAAATGGGGCACTTCTCGCAACTGATTAGGGGCACTAACTAGAGATGAAAAGGAGCACTTATAAGAAATGAATGGGAGTACTTATTTAAAAAAGGATTCACTTTGAGGGTATTCGAAAACATAGGAGGCACTGTACCCCCGCCCTCCTGGTCCACCGTTTCTGACGACTTCCATTTAATAATAATAACTTCAAACTTATCAAAGTATTGAATCATAAAATGTATTTCTTTATGCCAGAATAATATATACAAAGTTATATAACTGAACCAATCATTGTACAATGAAATTACCTAATCAACATAACAATTTACATGCACAATGATTTTGCATAGTATTTTATAGGAATTTTATATTATTTTCTAGACTTTTTAATGTACATAATACTACTACATTTTAATATATATATCACTCTTCAGTGACCGCACAATAGGCAAGGGGGGGGGGGGGGGGTCTGTCTATCATTTGCCTTCAAGTGAAAGCCTCCTCTGAGGATCTATGGAGAGTTCTCTTTTATTTGCATAATTTGTCGCGAAAAAAAAAATTGTATTCATAGTTTAACGATTGTTATCGTTTTGCTATAGAAACAAATCCTGGCAGGTCGAAATCGATATATATTTCTGATATCAATCGTTTAAATACCCCCCCCCCCAACTCGAAGGGGTCTGCTTTAACTTCTATACAATTTTATTTCATCTATTAACCCTTTAGACAGCTCTTTTCAAATGATTTAAAAGTCAGCTCTTCAATTAAAAAAATAATTCAATATCGATCTTGCCTCACAATTTCCTTACAGAGCAAAAGATTACCATGACTGCATTGGTCGCTACCCGAGTGATCCCGGGCCAGGGCCCCGCATGTGAGAGCAACTTCACCGTATCGTTCTTCATCCTAGCAGAACACAGCGCTAATCCTCCAGCTCCTAGTGATTATGATGTCTTCTTTAGTACCATCCCTGCTCATCGTGCTTACGTCAAGTAAGATGACATACATCTTAATAAATTATTATCTGGTGTAAATCTAGTCCGTTCCATTCCGTTCCGATTTCTACCCATATTGCAAAGACTAGCAAATGATTACGTGTTAGCGAGACAAAAAGCCTGTGGAAAAAACTCAACTTTGTGCTTGTGGATAACTTCAAACCGATTTGTAAGTGAGAGATGTAAGCGAAGGGGAAAAAGGAAACAATACTTTACCCTAGGCCTAAATATTTTAAGTTTTTGTCCTGAATCCTCTCACAATCAGTTCCATCAATTTTCCTCAGATTTCTGAACAGGACAACGAAATAGGTCTAACATTTGAAGGGGCACATACCACGATTACCTGGGCACCTTCTTTAATGTAATGAAGATATTTGAACACGATCGCAACCACTTTTGAGAAATCAACTCAGATCAGGGGCAATTAATTTCAGTACACCATTGCATATCCAGTAGAAATCATGTTCAGATTACGCTGCGATCATTGCAAGTGTAATGTTCGCACTTCTCAAAAGGTAAAATTGCCTTAATTTTTTTTCCTCTTCTCTCGAATGTACTAGAAGTTCAGATCGTACCATTTTTTTTTAAATTTTTTTTTTGGGGGGGAGGGGGGTTAAGTGGACATGGATCAGTTGTGCTCCAACGAAATCAAAGAATTACCTTGAATGATAAAACCCATTTTTCATTCAATATTTCATTCCAATCTCAGATCCTTTGGTAGTTTCGCGTCTCAAGATGACTGGATCCAGGCAGGTGCTGAATTAGGCCGTGCTCTCGACGCGTCACACTCATACGATAGTTCTTACTATTACACGGCTGGTTATGACAGTCCTTTCACCATTTTTAACCGACACAACAAGGTCTGGTTCGTCGCAAACTAAAGACTAACTTCAGTCAAATGTTTATCAAAGAACTGTTCTTAGTTTATTGTTTTATTTCTTGTATACAGTTATTCTCAACCATCATAGTGATTACGTAGTGAACATCGGGTACCATATAAACGTTATGAATAACGTGTAAATAGAATTATATAATAAATCTATGAATACCAAAATGTGATGTACCCTTTGCTTTGTAAAAAGATGTTTAAAAACAAATATGAGGAGCAGAGCGAAATGAGTCAGTTGGGAATGAAGGATGAAAGGAGTGTTACAGTATGATGCATAGGAGGGAAACAGTTCAATATGCATGACTCGGTCGGGTGAGCTGAAGAGAGAGAGAGGTGGGGAGGGGTAGTGAGAGGGAGAGGGAGAGAAAGAGAGGGAGAGGAGGATAAACAGAGTGAAAGAGAGATAGAGAGGAAGATCGAGCTTTACATCATAATATTATACAATGTATATAAATATATATCTATATATATAGAGAGAGAGAGAGAGAGAGAGATAAACCAAAGATAAGGAGAGAAGTGGAAAACATAAAGGCTGGAATTTACAAAGCAATGTGATTTAATCCTAAAACCGTGGTCTTTCCAACAACTTTTTCTGGGCGACCGAAAACGGCCAAAGAATGTGTGCAAGAAAAAATAGCCCGTTTTTCTCTGTCTTAGAAAAAATGTTTTAACCAGTATTTCTCTATTCTCCTTCTCCATTTTTGTGGGCGCCCATTGTAAATAGGTGGTTTCGAACACTGTGTAGGGTGAAACCATGATTGTGAATTCCAACCAAACTGTCTAGTATTGGACGATAACAAAGAAAGAACAAAACTGTCAAAACACAACATAAAATTGAGACTGTAATAGTTTTGACTTTTTTTTCTTATAATTTCTTTTAATATTAATAATCATTAGTAATCATAGCAAGGAAGACTCAACGCATAATTATGCACTTGAGTAGCTCATCTGTCAATTTTGCTGGCAGTCTGGAAGTTTACGCATCCTATGAAAAGAACTGGGGTTTCCCACAGTTGAATTGAATTGAATTGAATTGATTTATTGTCCATAACAAATGGAAATTCGTTGTTCACTGGTACATGTGTGTAACAAAAAATTTACAAAATTAAACAGATTATAAAACATAATAACAACATAACATCAATGGCGTTTCATCTAAGAGTAAATGAACACCTTTGAACGTATTGGCGGAATTCACCATTTTTAACTATAGAGGGCGACTTATTTAAGCTTTCAATAGTGGATATAGTGGATAGTATAGTATAGTGGATATAGTGGATACACTTTATTAGAATCCTGGATGATAGAGCAAGACATTTTATTTGCATTCATTTCTATATTTGGAAGAGCAATGGACGGTAACTACACTAGTTTATTACCCCCTCTTTCTTAAATATTCTTTCTTTATCTCCGTCTATTTCTCTCTTTCTCTTCCTCTTTCTCTGTCAACCATTAAATGACTCTTCCAGTGTCAATCAACAATACCGTGTGCATACAACAAAATAACGTGTATGTTGTTATAGGCTAGGTTTACAGCGTTGATACACTTACTATTTTCTAATAAAAAATATTTTAAAAAGAGGAAAATGCTAAAGGTACTTTACAAACTGTGTACAAAAACAGTACGGAGACCAGGAGTCTATATTGAAATAGTTGAACCGTTTTACCTATAAGAATCGACTTAAAAATGAAGTTGAGTTCTGGTCATGCGATTGCATTGTGAAAGAAAAGGTGTGGAATGGATCAGAAACAGTTGATCATGTAGCATGTAAGTATAAATGTGTACTGCAAGGGTCTGGAGTCATCAAAATCATAATCAATTTGCCCCAGTTTTTGTAAAGTAACAAGCACTGTACACAGAAAGATGTATATGGGACTACACAAAACGTGTCGGGGCTACTATAACCTCGATATCTTATCTTTCTATGCTCATTATTAAAAAAAGAACTTCATTTAATTAATTTACTTTTTAATTAAGGAACATTACATAACTACCTTGATCTAAGGAGACACGAACGAACGAACTCAGCCAGTATATATTTTCTACCAAAATTGTTTTGCAAAAGACATTTATTTGTAATCTTGAACATTCAGTGTAAGTTTCGTTTGATTCTGTGAGGATTCCTTTTTTTCTTCTTTTTTTTTACCAGAACTCAAGTTTAAGTAACAACATTTTCCATCGGATGTCGTTATCAGAAGATCGGTATAGATTTAATTCAATTTAAAGTAATTTTACCAAACTGAACTGAATTGAAGCGGTAATTATTATGAAAAGGAAACCTTCGAAATTTACATGTATTGTATTGTATTTATTAAACTTCATTGATGTATTTCAGTATTCTGTTTATAAACACATAAATCAAAAAATGTAATGTAACAAATCAATATTCTGTTTGTAAACATATATATCATATAAATCAATTTACAATGCAATGTATATAGCAAAACAGAAGGGAAATTATATACAGCAGAAGCACTCTTTTTTTCTTCTTGTAATAACATGACATATAATTCATAAAGTACATAATAAAGTGTGACATAATACATCCGAAGATTTAGATATATAAAACCTAATATAGCAATTGTCTACATAAATTATAACTCATGCTATATAAACTAGGAAAATGAGGTACATGGAATGCCTAAAACAAATGACGTAATAGCACTTATACATATATGCGACGTGCTGTAAAATTGGACCAAAAACATAAGACTGAACATTTTTACTTTGTTATTACATAGTATCTATAAGTTAACATGAAATATGCAAAATTACATTACCAATTCATTATAACAAAAATGTAGTAAACGTTTACAAAAATATCATAACATTCTTACTTTACATAGGATGTTAAGTCAAGAAATATAACTTCCGAAGGTTAAACTAGGCCTAATTTGTTTTAAATACTGTACATTGTTCTTTTCTATATCAAAGCAAACTAATCAGTCACATTATCAGTTCTCAGAGCTTTCAATTTAATGGCTTTTCAGACAGGGTACAAAGTGAATACGAAGGAATTTTTGTGGGATTAGGCAAGTTTACTGTAACATCCACACGAAAGTTATAGTGATATTATACAATGAAAACAAAATAATGATACCAATAACTTGACAGGAGAACCCGTGAAAGCTTAAAAGCTTATTTACAATAGGGTCCCATCTACAATGTCAGTATTAATTATTTCGTCGTTTAAAGATACACAAATAATCACCATAAAATGCAGCAAAAAATGATCGCAACATTAACAAAAACAACATGAGTGAAATAACACTGATAAGAAGTTAATCAATATCTTACCAATTTTCAAGTTGTTCATTATGATATCATATCACTGGCTTTCAGAAAATATCTAAGATAAACGATTAAACACTTTACATACTATTTTTAGAGAGGGAAGTTATAATTGTATTGGATAAGGACAACGGTATTCAGGCAAATGAAATCTATCGAGAGAATAGGCATCTTCTAATTGGTTAGTTATCAAAAAAATAAACAATGGAATATGACACATTATAGGCCCATATGAGAGTGGAGCCGGAACAGAGAGGTATACACACCAACAATAATGGTAATATAGAGTGTGAGATGGATTACAGTGATACTTTGATAACATACAACTTACCGCCAGCAGCAAACGCGAGCATATCTGGAGAGAGAGAGAAGCCAAGTAACACCAACAAGAAGTAGCAAGCCTGAGATTAAGTACATTGAACTCAACTCTCTCAATCATGTTCAGACCATCAAGGTCATAGAGCCTAATCACCACGTTACCATTCATACCATCAACACTCGCTACATACACCCTGTCCTGCTCATCCACGGCAGCATACAGGTAGACCCTGTTTGAAGCTTGTAAAGACTTGCCAGCTTTCCCTTTCCGGTCATACACCGTCACCACGCTTGGATTGGTGTTACATGAACTCGTGACGAACAAACCCGACCTGGTGGCAGATATCTGCTTCGTCTTGTTGTGTTTTGTTGGAACAATGTGTTTGTGTGTGGATCCCGTCGGGTCATAGATATAGACTTGCTTCTCATTGTCAGCGATGACGATTTCATCTGATGGACTTCTGTTTAGTATGAGAAGGCCACTGCCTATCATGGGCATAGTTGATTTCCTGGAACCATTGGGAGAAAATATGTGCGCTTGTTTGTCACTCGTCGCTATGCATAACGACCTGTTTTGTTGAAACACAAGACCATAGCATATCATGTTACTTGGTATGTTTGTATACTGCTCTTGTTTACCAGCTGAATCAATGATATCGATACCAGGTATACACAGATATCCGATAGCTACACTGTCCTTAGAGTACGGGGTCATATCCCACATAGCTCCCCGTAGATCTACACACTGAATAACTTGCAACTTGGGTTCTGATTCTAAGACGCTCCCGAGGTCAAGACGAGTATCATCTGCAGACTTGAACGTCTTCGTCTGTGTTTTCCTCCTCATGGCAGCCGCAGAAGTATGATCAGTAGCTGATCCTGAGATGCTCCCGAGTTCAAGACGAGTATCATCTGCAGGCTTGAACCTCTTCTCCTGTGCTTTCTTCGCAACGGCTGCCACAGAAGTGTGATCAGTAGCCTCCTTCAGCATGGCATCCAGCTCCTCACATAACAAGGTATGAGCAGACAGACTGTCTTTCTCAAGACGACCCAGTCTGTCATTAGCTACCAGTGTCAGTGAACTACGAATACTCTTGATCTTCTGTCGATCGTTGGATTTCAAGACGTTGAGGTCGTGATCGAAACTCCGCTTTACTACATTGATTTGCTCGATGAGATTACGATGATTTTCTTCAAGTTCTTTGGCCTTGATGCTGTAGGCTTGACTGACATCGTCCAGTAGTTTCTGCACGGCATTGTAAACCTCATGGCGTTGTACTTCAACATTCTGAATGTTTTTCTCCAGTTCAGTCTTCTTGGCGGCACATCGCTGGACAAGGTCGTTCACCTAAATATAAACAAATGGAGAAGTGAAAAGAACATTTTGTAACTATAGATGTATGCTTAAACTACATGGCGATGGTTGGAAAATGAAACACGATTTTGCACGCGCCTGAAGTTTTAGAAAAATACCCCCACATCATCATAATCATACGAGGACAGAGGACAGAGGAATTAAATACATTGTTTTTCTGCTTTCTTAAAAGGTAATCCATATCTTGTAATTAGTCTGCATGTATGAAAGCAGTAATATTCAACAAAAGAAAGGACATTGCATTTCTCTTTTTTTTGTAGTTTTGGTTTCATAGAAGGTAGTATTTTGGCACTTATTTAAAAATAAAAAAAAAACAGATTTAAGATATTGTCAAATTGAAACATACTTAAGTTTTTTATTTTGATAATGACATAAAATACCTCATTTGAAAGGGTTTTTAATAATATTAAGAAATGTAAAGCTCGACTGAAAATGTACTGTTACGCGAGGGAGTATAGCGACCGAGCGAAACAATTGCTTCTGAGAAATTGAATAGTGTAATCAAGCAAAGTGTGAAACACCGCAGAAAATCCCAGCCTACTTCGAAATAATGATTTACATAAGAGTGAGCTTATGCAGGCAACAGAAAGAGAGGGGGTGGGCCAAAGTGTTGTCTCACCCCATTTACTAGAGAGAGAAGCGTTGATCTTCACACCCTATCCGTTTCAAGAGCATTTATAGTAGACGGGGTTGGCACAATGATAAGAAACATTCCAGCTATTCAAATGCGAGGAACTGAGGAAGCCTAGTCACTGAGAGGAAAAGGGTAGCCTTATGGAAAGTTGAAACCGTACTTTAGACCACTTAAATGCTGTTTTATTCATCATTATTGCCTAATACAATTGTGCTATTGCTTTGCGAGGCGGGCGGGGCCTTTGCCTGCTCCCCTTTTATAAAGGAAAGCTCTAACCGAATACTTCGGGATTTTGGCGTAGATCGTTTCTACGGGATAATTTTTTTAAAATTGAGAGAGAGAGAGCATCTAAGCGACATAGTTAGCGGAAACTAAGATTGTGGAACGTAAAAAATCCCCCTCCTTACATAGAGTGTAACACCTGTCCACCCAATTCCATGTATGAACTCAACTGCCACCCTCCCCCCCCCCCCCCTCGCCACTTGTTTTTGTCATATGAAACCACATTTACCTTTAGCCGTTACTCTTGCTCAAAGTCAGCCCGATTCTTGATGTTGTGATTCTGATGACCGACTATCACGCACTTGTGACAGATATGGACCTTACAATCCTCACAAAACATATCTCTGTTCTCTTGTTTGTGGATGCAGCACTTCTCAGGCAGGTGACCAATGCTGACCTTACCGTCGATGATATCCTGTAAGGATACAATCTCATGACCTTCAAAGAATGATGTCAGGTGCTTATGGCCGGAGTCGCAATTATAGTGCACATATAGTTATTACACGTTCTGCAGAATGAGACAGCATCTTGATGAAACTTGCAAGCAGTACATTTTAGACGCATCTCAAGGACAGCGTTCATTCCTCCACACTTGGCGTGGTAATTGTCTACAAGTCCGTTGACAGTCACATTGGTAAGAAAATCATCGACACGGTTCGCAGACAACTTGGTGATCTTCCTGCACAGAGGACAGATCATGTGATCGAGATCCTGGTGGGACAGATCATAGTTCTTGAGACATTTCCGACAGAAGGTGTGTCCGCATGAAGTCAGGATGGTTGCCTCGTCGAAGATATCAAGACATAGTGGACATGTCAGGTTCTCTGAAGAGCTTGGAGCTTTCTCTTCCCCGGCCTTCTCAGCCATTTCTAGTTTTTGGCTTATTACAGACACGAGCACATTCTACGCATATATGCAATTTCCAATGCAACTTAAAAGTGTGATGAGCTAATGTGTACTAGAAGTCAACTGTTAGTTCATAACAGCTTCCTGGTTCATGCAAGCACACCGGAACATGAATTATATATGCAATGACGTAGTAGATTGTACCAATATCCTGATTCTACGTAACGAGTGCGTCCAATAACGTACTGCAAGCAGTTCTGTACCTATTTCTCACGTTGATTGCAAATATGTGTCAAAAGAAGTGCGAATAACTTTGATCAAAAGTACTGAGTCGCTATGCAAGTTTACACACCTATATTTCTTCATAATAAGGAGGTTGAACAGGTGAAGGAGTACAAGTACCTGGGAAGCATAGTTACCAACACTTTAGACTGGACTAAAAACACACTAACATTGTGTAAGAAGGGAAACCAAACACTCTACTTTCTGAGAATGATGAACAATATTCACGTTGACAGAACAATTTTGGTTTTGTTCTATCAGTCATTAATACAAAGCATTTTAACATACAACGTGATTTGCTGTTACGGAAATGGGACCCAGAAAAACCGGACTCGCTTACGGTGAGTGGCACAGAGAGTGATAGGGCATGATCTGACTGATATAAACTCTTTGTTCGAACAGAGACTCATGTCCAAAACAAACAAAATCATGAAAGATCAAAGTCACCCTCTCAACACCCAGTATTCTTTCAACCGTTCTGGAATTCGATTAAACGTCCCACGCACAAACAGAGCACGCTTCCGCCAATCCTTCGTACCAAACTCTATCCACATGTTCAACCAATTCGTTAAGAGATAATAATAATAATAATAATAATAATAATAATAATAATAATAATAATAATAATAATAATAATAATAATAATATTAATAATAATAACAATAGCAATAATGATCATAATTATTTGAACTTATAAACTGTTATTGAATTTATAAACTGTCATCATAAAAGTATTTCAAAGATACTTTTAATCATCTAATCAAGTTTAACAATTCTGGATGACTTAAACAATTTTGTATTATTTATGTGAAATGACGAGACCTTTTCTGTTCTGAAACTGTTTGCTTAATTGTTCATATGTTCATATTATTGTACTCTGTTTCTCGTATCATTGTAATGCTGGTGGAAAGCATATTTCCACATTGTGGACGAATAAATCAAATCAATCAATTAATCATCAATCAATACAAATGTGATTACAATACTAAACACACACTTTATTTGTTCGTCTGTGAATATCATGCAGTTTGCGCATCCTATATTAGAAGTGGGTTTTCCCACAAAGAGCTCGCGTCGCGTATAGCACCTTTGAACTTATTGTCGGTAGTCATAATTTCCATCTATAGAGGGCGACTAATTAGTTTTCAGTTACGGATATATTGTGTTGGAGATCCACTTTAGTAGATTCCTAGGTAAACGAGCAACACATTTTATTTGCTTTTATATAAGCCTATCTATGTTTGGAGGGGTAAAGGACGGTGACTACACTTGTAATATTTCAACCCTTCTATCTGCACTATTCTTCCTTTATCTCCTTCCATTTCTCTCATTCTCTTTCCTTTTCCAACAAAAAGGGGCACTTTCTGGAAAGAAAAAGGGGCACCCACAAAGGTAGAAACTAAGAGCGAAAAATGTCAATGTTTAAACATTGGTAATACCCCTCTGATTACATTTCAGGGATGATTTTTTTTCTTCTCTCTTTAGATGGTCAAAGATCCTGCTTAAGCATCATACTTTGCAGTTGAATGTAAAGGTCTGAATATCCATTTGCGAGCGAGCGGGTAGAAATTTTAAAATTTGTGAGGCAGTGCAAAGAATTGCAGATTATAAAGAGGAAAAAACAATCCTGATGGGTTTTAAGCACAATTTAATGATGAAAGAATGAAAAGAGCATTAATAAGATACAAAATTATACCAACCATAAAATTTGGGTGAAATCATGTTCAGATTACGTAATACGCGATCATTGCAAGTGTAATGTTCGCACATTTCAAAAGGTAAATTGCCTTAATTTGATTTTTTCTTCTCTCGAATGTACTAGAAGTTCCGATCGTACTATTTCTGGGAGTGAGGGTTCAAGGGGACATGGAACAGTTGTGCTCTAATGAAATCAAAGAATTTCGTTGAATATTAAAACTCATTTTTCATTCAATATTTCATTCCGATCTCAGATCCTTTAGTGGTTTCGCGTCTCAAGATGACTGGATCCAGGCTGGTGTTGAATTAGGCCGTGCTCTCGACGCGTCACACCCATACGATAGTTCTTACTATTGCACGGCTGGTTATGATAGTCCTTTCACCATCTTTAACTGACACAACGAGGTCTTGTTCGTCGCAAACTAAAGACTAAAATGTTTCTCAAATGTTTTATTTCTTGTATACAATTATTCTTAACCACCATAGTGACTACGTAATGTATCATTATAAAAGTTATGAATAACGTGTAAATATAATTATTTAATACATCTATGAATACCTAAATAGAAGTAAAAGAAGTTTAATAACAAATATCTATTTCATATGAAATATGGACAAAAAGGTAGAAGGGGGTATGAGGAGCAGAGCGAAATGAGTCAGTTTGGGATGAAGGATGAAAGGAGTGTTAGAGTATGATGTATAGGAGGAAAACAAGGAAATATGCATGACAGGGTAGAATGAGCTGAAGAGAGAGAGAGAGAAAGGGAGGGAAAGAGGGGGTGGGGAGGGGTGGTGAGAGGGAGAGAATGAGAGAGAGAGAGACAGAGAGATATAATTATATAGAAAAAGAGAAAAGAGAAAGATAGAGGAGTGGGGACAGTAAGAGAGGAAAGAGAAGGATATTGGGGAATGCAATAGTCACTATTCAGAAGAAAGCTTTTAAGTCTCCTTTTGAAAATTTGTATCGAATTACACTGTATGATATCATTTGAAAGAGAATTCCACAGTTTTTTACCTGTAAAAAGAAATGTCTTTTGTGCAAACGATGTTCAATTCAATGGTAGATGAAAAGAGCTCGCCTGGCGAGTAAAGTAACTATGAATCGAATAATTTCTTACGAACATACCATTAAAAGGCAAAGATAATTATTTAGTGTTCAGCTTGTACATTAACTGTCAAAGCTGAAAAGTATACAAGTCTTTAATTTTCAAAATGTTATTATTAACAACAAGATTATTCGTGTGTGACCGGAAATCTGCATTATTGATAATAATAAGAATCGCTCTTTTTTGTAATATAAAGAGTCTATTAATTTAGGAAGTTGCTGCACTGCCCCATGCGATAAGCCCGTAGTTCAAGTAAGGAATAATAAGCGTAAAATACAAGGATAACATAATTTAAAGGGGTATTAAGTGTCTTAACTTGCTATAACTTAGTAATCATAGCACGGAAGACTCTACACATAGTTATGCACTTGAGTAGATCGTCTGTCAATATTATGCAGTTTGCGCATCCTATGAATAGAATTGAGTATTCCACCAGAGTATATAAGCACCTTTGAACTTATTGGCGGTAATCATCATTTCTATCTATAGAGGGCGACTTATTTAAGCTTTCAATAATGGATATATTATGATTACGTTGGAATTACACTTTAGTAGAATCCTGGATGATAGAGAAAGACATTTTAGTTGCTTTCACTACTATATTTGGAAGAGCAATGGACGGCAACTACACTTGTTTATTATCCCCTCTTTCTTAACTATTCTTTCTTTATCTCCGTCCATTTCTCTCTTTCTCTTCCTCTTTCTCTGTCAACCATTGAAGGACTCTTCCAGTGTCAATCAACAATACCGTGTACAATACAGCAAATAATATGTATGCAGTTATAGGCTAGGTTTACAGCGTATACATAATAATAATAATAATAATACATCACATTTATAACGCGATAAATACATTGTTTCTAGGCGCAGTGGTGCTGTTGTCCCAGCAGCCATTAAGTGAAGCAATGTCCTTACACGAAATAAAGTCGGGACGACAGAACCACGAATACACAATATTATTCAGTACAAAATTACAGTATTACTATTTTCGAATAAAAATGAAAAAATGAGGAAAATGCTAAAGGTACTTTGCAAACTGTGTACAAAAACAGTATGGAGACCAGGAGTCTATATTGAAATAGTTGCATCGTTTTACCCATAAGAATCGACTTAAGTAACTTCATTTTCCATCGGATGCCATTATCAGAAGAACTGTATAGATTTAATTCAATTTAATCTAATTTTACCAAGCTGAACTGAATTGAAGCGGTAATTATTATGAAAAGGAAAACATCGAAATGTACATGTATTGTATTGTATTTATGAAACTTCATTGATGTATTTCAGTGTTCTGTTTATAAACATATAAATCAATTTACAATGTAATGTAACAAATCAATATTCTGTTTGTAAACATTTATATCATATACATCAACTTACAATGCAATGTATATAGCAAAAACAGAAGGGAAATTATATACAGCGGAAGCACTCTTTTTTCTTCTTGTAATAACATGACATATAATGCATAAAGTACATAATACAGTGTAACATAATACATCCGAATATTTAGAAACATAAAACCTAATATAGTAATTGACTACATAAATTATAACTCATGCTATATAAACTAGGTAAATGAGGTACATGGAATGCCTAAAACAAATGACGTAGTAGTACTTATACATAAATGCGACGTACTGTAAAATTGAACCAAAAACATAAGATTGAAAATGTTTACTTTGCTATTACATAGTATCTAAAAATTGACATGAAATATGCAAAATTAAATTACCAATTCATTATAACAAAAATGTAGTAAAAGTTTACAAAAATATCATAATATTCTTACATTACATAGGATGTTAAGTCAAGAAACATAACTTCCGAAGGTTAAACTAGGCCTAACACTGTACATTGTTCTTTTCTATATCAAAGCAAACTAATCAGTCACATTATCAGTTCCCAGAGCTTTCAATTTTATGGCTTAACAGACAGAATGCAAAGTGAATACGAAGGAATTGTTGAGGGAATGTAGTAACCATGGTCCTCCAAGGATTATTTTAAATTTGATTTGATGTATAAGGCAAGTATAATGTTATATCCATACGAAGAGTATCGTGATATTGTACAATAAAAATAAAATAATGATACCAATAACTTGACTGGATAACCCTTGAAAGCTTAAAAGCTTGTTTACAATAGGGTCCTATTTACAATGTCAGTATTAATTATTTCGTCATTTAAAGATACAAAATAATCCTGTTTACCAGCCGAATCAATGATATCTATACCATGTGCATTACAATATCCGATTGCTACACTGAGTACGGGATCATACCCGACATGCTTCCCCAACTCTCATATCCCTGCTTCCCCGTAGATCTACACACTGTCAAAACGTGTATCATCTGCAGACGTCTTCTTCTGTGCTTTCCTCCTAATGGCTGCAGCAGACGTGTGATCAGTAGCTGATTCTGAGATGCTCCCGAGTTCAAGACGAGTATCATCTGCAGGCTTGAACCTCTTATTCCTAGCTTTCTTCGTAATGGCTGCCGCAGAAGTGTGATCAGTAGCCTCCTTCAGCATGGCATCCAGCTCCTCACATAGCAAGGTATGAGCAGACAGACTGTCTGTCTCAAGTCTACCCAGTCTGTCATTAGCTACCAGTGTTATTGAACTACAAATGCTCTTGATCTTCTGTCGATCGTTGGATTTCAGGACGTTGAGGTCGTCATCGAATTTCCGCTTTACTACATTGATTTGCTCGATAAGATTTCGATGATTTTCTTCAAGCTCTTTGGCCTTGATGCTGTAGGCTTGACTGACATCGTCCATCAGTTTCTGCGCGGCAGTGTATACTTCATGGCGTTGTACTTCAACGTTCTGAATGTTCTTCTCCAGTTCTGTCTTCTTAGCGGCACATCGCTGGACAAGGTCGTTCACCTAAACAAAACAAATAATAGAGAAGCGAAAAGTACATTTTCTGATTAAGATGTATGCTAATACATGAAGATGGTATGCAATTTAAACACATATTTTGCACGCGCCTGATGTTTCAGAAAAAATACCTCCCCCCTCCCCCTCCCACATTATCATTTATCATAAGAGGACAGTTACATTGTTTGTCTGCTTTTCTTAAAAGGCAATGCAACTCTTGTAATAAGTCCATTGGTATGGAAGCAGTAATATTATATATAGAGAATGGTAATAGTAGTATTATCATGATAACAATAATCATCATGATGATAATATTGGTAAATCGAAATCATTAAATAAATGTAATAATAATAATAATAATGATAGCAATATAATGAATATAAAAAGAATAATCAAAATACTACTTATATTACAAATTTTAGTGATAGTGATAATGATGATGGGGCAAAAAATATTGACTAATGAATGACTACGCTTATTACCTTCGAATAGCCCCCCCCCCCCCCCAGCAACAAACAACATTTTTCTTTCATTCGAATTTGTCTTGTTAGTTTTAGTAAACAAAAGAGAGAAAAAAGGTCATTGCTTTCCTCGTATTGTGTAGAATTGGATAAGAGTAAATTTAAAATATTTACAAATTGAAGTTTACTTAAAGTTATTATATTATTCATGGCATAATATATCTCATATTAAAGTGCTTAAATAATATCAAGGATCATATAGCTCATCAGAAAGTTTACTATTACGCGAGGGAGGACGACCGATCGAGAAAAAAAATGCTTCTGTGAAATTGAAAAGTGTAATCAAGTATAGTTTGAAACACCACGGATAATCCCAGCTGATACTTCGAAATAATGATTTACATAAGACTGAGCATATGCAAGCAACAGAAAGAGCTTCATGTCTTGTGAGAGGGGTGGACAAACGCGTAGTCACATCCCCTTTCAGTAGCGTACGAAGGATTTTTTCGAGGGGAGGGGGGGAGCTCTAGAAATGTGAAAATCGCGCCAATTTGTTTTGCTACAACTCAGGCAACCGCTGAATGAGCGAGGGGGGGGGGGGGGTAAGAGCACTTTTTTGTGGGGGGGGGGGATCCCGGAAATAATTTGGCCGACCGTTTCTTCGTTCAGCTAGACTGTGGGATGACCACTGAAATTGTGAATTTCATTGGGGCGGCAAATGCATCCACGCTTCTCTGACATGATAATATGTAATATTAGTTATTAGACGAGAGATAATTCTAGAATTTTGAACGGTACACTTTGTTTTTGAGAACCTCTTTTGTATGGTTTTACTTCTACTGCAACATTAATGATGTCAACAGTTTCCTCTGGCAAGGGAGGACAAAAAAAGCATATTCTCATTTGTTTGTAGAAATATTTGGCTTTTTGATAGGGAGAGGGCAGAAATAATTTTGCACTGTCCAAGATAGTAAGTAATATGCCCCTCTTTTAGTACCTCTAGGAGACATGCATTCTACAGTATGAACATAGGCTCACACCTCTTTCCATATTTTGTAAGGGAGGGTAGCGACAAATAACTGATAACATTTAGGTTTTGGAATGGTTATGCTTTACATTTTAGAGGATTTATCTGCTGATTGAGCTTAACTGAAAAATATAAGTTGTCAGGGGGGGGGGGGGGGTCACATTTTCCCCCAACCCTTTGATAGATAGGAATATCTTCTCACATGCTTCCGGTGTCTATGAAGTACATATTAGGGACTTTTAGATTCGCACGAAGACAATAGGGATTGCTACGATCGACGTCCTTTGAATGCACTGCCTTGAATGGACGTCACACGTTTCAGTCCACGCAAATCTAAAAGTCCCTATTGTAGACATGTAGACAGGTTTACACCAGGGCCCCGTCTCACAAAGAGTTACGATTGATCCAAATCAATCACAAGTTTTTCTTAGGTACATAGTTGCGATTGATATCAACTTTTTGCAAGACGGGGTCCGGGTCTATTAGTATAGCGCCCTAAGGCGGGCCCCTTGGTACTCATCTGACCGTTATCTAGTGCCTATTGTAGATAGGTAGACAGGTAAACACTAGGGCCCCGTCTCACAAAGAGGAATGGAAGATGTTGGTTTTAAAATGCTAACAAAAATAAATTTCAGCGTACTTGATAGCTTAACAAAATGCAAAGGAAGTACATCTAAATTGTGTTATTTTCGAGGGGCAGGGAAGGGGTATGAAACCAATTTAGCCCATTTTGTAATCATTGCAGGGGGCATCTTATCTTCCTCTGCCCCCCCCCCCCTGCCTTCCCCGCTACCGGGGCTCATTTTAGCTTCCCATGTCTGAATTGTACAAGTACACCTTTTTTGTTTTTGTCAAATGAAACCACATTTACCTTTAGCCGTAGCTCTTGCTCGAAGTCAGCCTGATTCTTGATGTTATGATTTTGATGACCGACGATCACGCACTTGAGACAAACATGGACCTTACAATCCCCACAAAACATATCTCTGTTCTCTTGTCTGTGGATGCAGCACTTCTCAGATAGATGACCAATGCTGACCTTCCCGTCGATGATATCCTGTAAGGACACAATCTCATGACATTCAAAGAATGATGTCAGCTGCTTATGGCTGTAGTCGCAATTAGTACACATGTAGTTATTACACGTTCTGCAGAATGAAACAGCATCTTGATGAAACTTGCAAGCAGTGCATTTTGGACGCATCTCAAGGACAGCGTTCATCCCTCCACACTTGACATGGTAATTGTCTACAAGTCCGTTGACAGTCACATTGGTGAGGAAATCATCGACACGGTTCGCAGACAATTTTGTGATCTTCCTGCAGAGAGGACATATCATGTGATCGAGATCCTGGTGGGACAGGTCATAGTTTTTTAGACATTTCCGACAGAAGGTGTGTCCGCATGAAGTCAGGATGGTTGCCTCGTCGAAGATATCAAGACAAAGTGGACACGTCAGGTTCTCTGAAGAGCTTGGAGCTTTCTCTTCTTCTGTCTTCTCAGCCATTTCTCCAAATATCTGATTGTTGGCTTATTACAGACACGAGCTCATTCTACGCATAATATGAAACTTCCAATGCAACTTAAAAGTGTGATCAGCTAATGTGAACTAGAAGAGTCAACAATATGTTCATATGCAAGCACACAGGAGCACATACTTTTTGCAGTGACGTAGTAGATTGTACCAATATCCTGAGTCTCCGTAACGAGTGCGTCCTATAACTACATACAGTTCTGTACCAATTTCATATAAATATGTGTCAAAAGAACTTTGATAAAAAGTACTGAGTCCCTTGGTCAGAATAGAGTTAGAGACTATTTGACGGTTTGCGTCATATCACCATATGGGACGAATATAATAACGGAGGCCATCTTCACACGTTGAATAGTGGAAAACACCCAATCAACCGATAATATAGACATCTGGGTGGGAATCCTTTGTTGCTTGAATGCTAGCAATCCTTTGTACGTTAACACGAGAAAAAAAACACTGCAAGAGAAAAAATGATAACAAAGCTAACCACGCGCGTTTTTCATTGTCGTTTGCAATTTATCATACACATATTTGTTCACGTCTACACATCAGTCAAAATTTCTTCTCGTCAGCTAGTGCACCTACAGAACAAACTACATTTAGTTTAAGGGCATTTATACCTTGTCCATCAATAATTTAAAGGCAAAATTATAGATTCATGCGAAATTTCCTAAAATGATTTTTTTTTTTTCTTCTAATTATAATTTTTTTTTAAATAAAGAAACTATACTAGAGAAAAAACAAATGCAAGTCGCTTGCATATATTCTTTCCCGAACAATTGAACACGGTAAAAGATTTTTAATTTTTAAATTTTTATTTCCAGGGAAGATGATAACGTTACATAGAAAACATCACAGGGTTGACAAAATGACATTACATTAACAGTATGATATTTAACACCAGCCAATGCCTGGGGATCACCTAAAGTAATATACAAATTATGTCGAGAGGCTCTCTACATTGGCTGGTGCATACATAAAACACAACATAAAGATAAAGTATACATATACATGAATGTGTAATCCTCATATTAGGGACATGAGAGGGAGACCAGAAGCTAATAATATTTGGTAATACAATAATTACAAAATTATCTCGTCAGACTAAATTTGGTATATGATACATAAAAATACAGCAAAATGTCTTTTAATATAGGGTAATACAAATGTAGATCGACTACTGTTAGGAATTTTTTTTTAGAGGACCGAAAAAGAGCTGTTTAAACTATGCATGTTTGATAAATGCATGCTAAATGCAGAAAATTGTCTGTTTATACAGTCATATGGATACGGTAATATAACAGGTTATCAACACAGTATAACAATATTATTAACATACATGGAAGGTATCAAGATTGTAGAACATTATTATTGATATGATTGGAAGTAAAATACGAACTCAATAATAACAACATACGCATTAAGAAATCAATAATATATATCAAAGTGTGAGTTATTAAATGATAAAGATAAAAGTGTGAAAACAAACTAGTTTGCTTATACAAGGGGAGGCAATTCAAAGATGAAACTTCGGAGCACATTCGGAAAAGGAAGGACATTGGTACCAAGTCACAAGTCTCTGTCTTCCCATGAGAGGGGCTCTCGACATCTGGGGAAAACATAAAAACAAGAAAATCACATGCTATTGCATCTTGCTAATTCATGATTGAAAACAAATGTTTGGGTTCTTTTATGACTTGGGACTGGTAGAATATATTAAGACATGTCATTAAGTCTGTGAAAGCACTTAATTACACATGACAAGTACACAAGTCTGTTATACAGAGGGGGCATGTTAAATGTAAAGACCAGTTCTGGTCATGCGATTGCATTGTGAAAGAAACGTTGTGGAATGGATCAGAAAAAAGTTGATCATCTAGCATTTAGTTATTGGTGTGTACTGCAAGGTTCTGGAATCATCAAAATGATAGGAAATTTGGCCCACTCTTGGAAAAGTTACAGGCACTGTACACAGAAAGATGTTTATTGGACTACGTGACACGTGCGCGATATCTATCCGGTCAAGATAAATATAATAATTTACCAAATATACCAATACTGGTATATACCTTTAAGGCGAGACAGGCGTTCCGTGTAAGATACGGAATAAGCAACTTCGTAAGGGAAACAGAATCGGGTAAAATGCATTTGAACACTTTCGATAGCTCTGAAATGGTTCTTTTGATGAGGGAGCCATGTTGGTATGTCGTACTCAATCACAGGTCGACATAATGAACAAAGAGTTTTGTGAGAATAGCTAAGTTTCTAGATTTTACGGTATGTCTGATAAACCAAAATAGCAAAGAACATCTGTTAACAACACATCTAATACGGTTCGTCCAACTCAGATCTCAGTCGCGGAAAAGGGAGTCCTAGATATTTATACGACTTAACTACACCAAAAGGATTTCTGTCAGTGGAGTAAACAGTTAACAGTTAATCTTGCTGTGTTACCCTGATTCTATCTTGATATTTTTGCAAGCATATTCTGGGTGACCAAAAGGGGGCATTTTAGACGTCATGATTATATAAGTACGGAAGGCCATTTGGGCCTCAACACGCGTCGTAACGTGTTCTCCTTTCACCCCAATCCGATTAGTTTTCTTTTCAAACTTTTCAAACTCTAGCATCTCATCAAAGTCACTGAAATCTTCGTTTTCCGAAATCATTCATGATGTGTGACCGTCTGGGTGTCATTTTGTCTGTTTCAGGCCGTTTTTCAGGCCTTTTTCGGCTCGTCCCAGATGCTACAGACTTTTAACAAATTGCTCTACATAGTCTAACCGATGCTCTTTTATCCGCGACGAACATCACGCGGGCGTTAATGCATGCATATCGTTTAATACGATTGCAGTTTAGTTTGATTGTATTACTATGTTTGGAAGGGTAGAGGATGGTAACTACACTTATATTTCACCTCTTATTTTATCCACTATTTTTCCTTCATCTCCTTCCATTTCTCTCATTCTTTTCTCTTTTCTCTGTTAAAGATTTATCTCAATTGTTTACGTATGGAATGCTATGAGGCTATGAGAGAAATTATATAAAATAAAATATGTAGACCTTACTGCACGGAAATATGATTCATTAAAAAATGATAATGCATTGAGGTAAACATAACATGAAACGGCATTGTTGGAAAAATGTCCACAATTTGTTCGTTTCATTGTAAAATGAATGAGTTGTTTTGGACCAGCAATATAGCAAACATAAGTCTTAAACATTGCTGGAATCATATATCCAGGGGCGATGGATCGTCTTTTAAAGTGAGGGGGTTTTCACGAGGCGGTACTTGAATGGATGATAAAAATCGCAAAAAAGAGAAAGAATAAGGTAAAAAGGGGAAAATATAGTCTTTAAGCTTATATGGGGCCCAATACAGTGCAAAATGCACGATATGCTATGCTATAGCTCGTTCGCTTTGCTCCCTTACTTAATGTTTGTTTCAAGATTTCGCCCTCCTTTCCGTATGTAAGATATAGTGCATTGATGACAAGGGTGTAACATTTGAAGAAATTATAACCCTTGTTTCCTAGGCTCCCTAGTATCGAAATTTCATCAGGACGTTGTCAACATCGCTCCCGAATAGAGGAAGAAAGTGCAAAATAATGCTTTTAACTTTTGAAAGAAATTTGAAATTATATATAAAAGATAATTGTTCAGAATAGCGTTTTGCATTGTTCCAAACTCTGACAGACTACGAATTGCTTGGTTACAGCTTGTGCTCCCTTCTTTTTTTCTTCCCCATTGGGTAAAATGCGTAAAATTCGAAAATGCTGTCGTGCTTTATACCTCACTTGTATGGCGATGTATCAATATTTGGCTATCAAGCTGTATGACCAAAGTCCATGAATTCATTTCCACGCAGTACCATAATATGTTAATGTTTTTTCTAATATATATATATATATATTTATAGATATTTTAAACTGATAAGTTTGGATGAGGAGGGTGGTGTGTATTGTTACGCTGCCATTCACATTATCTGCAAGAAACAAGATGTTTTTTTGCAGATACGTGGAGCAATTACGTCAACAGAACATAAAAAATACTAGTAATCGATATGAAAAAAAATTAAACGGAAAAAATAGATCAGAGACAAAAAAACATGTGGGAGCAAACAGTTTATCTCCTTGCTCGTCAACCACGCTGGACCGTCAATTATTCACAGCTAGGAAAACAAACCTTAAGTGTTTCACACTAAGCTCCCAATTCGCAATATTGATTGGTTTAGATTTTTCGTTCTGGTCTTGGTGCTTCCAAAATTTCAGATATAGTGACTGATGTCACATTTCCATCGGCTGTCAGACAATCATTCAAATTTACGACATTTTTGTAGTTGTTCTCAATGCCCATGCAAAATTATGATTTGTATCTGGAAATATTCATTTGTCAAAACTCGTTAATAAAGTGCAACGTTTTATACAGAAAATGTGGTATGATACGATTCAATGTGATTTAATATCTTGCCCTTCCCCCTAAAGTGGTAGGTAAATTGGACAGACTGACTGTTATGATTTTTGTTGGTATTGTGTGATCCTAATGGTCATAACAAAACATTTGTAATAATTTAGTTTTGTTCGAACATACTATATTAACTAGTTGATAATCAGCTGGTGCATACTCTTATGTGAACATAGTAAGAAGGCTTAGGCATAAAGGGATTTACCGAAGAGACACAAGGTAAAAAAAAAAAAAAGGTCAAACATGATTGGCATTAAATTGTGTGTGTGTGTGTATGGGTGTGTGTGTGTGTGCGTGTGTGCGAGTGTGTGTGTGTGCGTGCGTGTGTATGTGTGTGTTATTGGGTTTTTACAAACGTGCATCGATTATTTACCTCTGGGCACTGACCTTTAATGTCACCATCAGAAAGACGGCTTTAAATTAAATGGGTTTGTTGGTTTCACATTAAGAGATTTTTTGTGTTACATATATTAATATTTAAATAAAAAATAATACATTGTGCTTTAAACTTCGTGTTTCAGGTACTGATCATCAATGGGCATCAATGATGTATCTATCCAACCTGTCCGTATAGTGTAACAGTAACCACCCATTCGTGACAGAGGCTGTTCACACCGCAATGAGATAGCGCGGTCTGTCGTAGCACCCCCTTTTTTCTAGCGCGCGCTAGACCGCGCTCTCTCTCGTGGACCACCCCCAAGAGGTGCTCCAGTGCCACGCCATTTTGGCTCGCCGTGGCTCGCTGTTGGGCGGACCGAAACGACGTTGTACCTTCCAAACCGCAGAGATAGCGCGGTCTAGCGCGCGTCATCTCTGCGGTGTGGGTAGCCTATCCGATAGGCGTCGGGCTAAATGGCAAGTGTACTAATCGCGTTATGGGGCGTGTTCACACCGCAAGGGGGGACCGTGGGCGGACCATGGATCGCGCTTTCGTAGCGCGACCCACGGTCCGCCCATTGGCATTCGCCGGATCCACACCGCAGTGAGATAGCGCGGTCTAACTGCACCCCCTTTTTTGAGAGGTCCTGTTGTCATGACGCGTGACGTTCTGAATAGGCCATTTTCGTAATGTAACCAAATTTAATGCATACGTCTTTGTAAAGTGCCTCAATACAAATTATTTCATTCACCTGATAAGAATAATAGTATTTCAATAGACAGAATCCAAACTGCATACATTAGTTGTTGTCAGGTTGGACAAGCATTATGGCTTGACCTACCTATATAGCAACACTTAATATATGCAGTTGCATTCTGACTATTGAAATACTATTGTTCCTATCAGGTGAATGAAATAATTTGTATTGAGGCACCTCACAAACACTTATGCATTAAACTTGGTTACATTACGAAAATGGCCTATTGTACCGATTCAGATTCAGATCGCACCAAAATAGAATGAGTATAAAATTCCCCGCGTGTAGAACGATGAAATCCGGCGTGCTATCGTAGCTCGGGTTCACACCGGCAGAGATAGCGCGGTCTAGCGCGCGCTAGACCGCGCTATCTCTCGTGGACCACCCCCAATAGGTGCTCCAGTGTTGGCTCGCCGTGGCTCGCTGTTGGGCGGACCGAAACGACGTTGTACCTTCCACACCGCAGAGATAGCGCGGTCTAGCGCGCGCTAGACCGCGCTATCTCTGCGGTGTGGAAGGTACAACGTCGTTTTAGTCCGCCCAACAGCGAGCCACGGGGAGCCAAGGCGAGCCAACACTGGAGCACCTCTTGGGGGTGGTCCACGAGAGAGAGCGCGGTCTAGCGCGCGCTAGACCGCGCTATATCTACCGGTGTGAACCCGAGCTACGATAGCACGCCGGATTTCATCGTTCTACACGCGGGGAATTTTATACTCATTCTATTTTGGTGCGATCTGAATCTGAAACGGTACAATAGGCCATTTTCGTAATGTAACCAAATTTAATACATAAGTGTTTGTGAGGTGCCTCAATACAAATTATTTCATTCACCTGATAGGAACAATAGTATTTCAAAAGTCAGAATGCAACTGCATATATTAAGTGTTGCTATATAGGTAGGTCAAGCCATAATGCTTGTCCAACCTGACAACAACTAATGTATGCAGTTTGGATTCTGTCTATTGAAATACTATTATTCTTATCAGGTGAATAAAATAATTTGTATTGA